TACAAACAACTTAAAATATAGAGAGATATAAACATTATACAAAACTAAAATACATAGTGTAAGTCAGCTTTTGCGGAAATTATTTAGCATTGGTAAGATGAAATTGAAATTGCACAAAAAAAGTTATAAGTTTAATGTAATAATACACTTTCATGTCGAAAGACGTAGACGGTGGAAAACAGGGAATGGAGGAGAGAAAATGGAAGTTGTTTCGAAAGAGTTTAGAAAATATTTAACAATTGCTATACAAACATCTCTATTACAAAAATTGAAATTAAGCATTAAAAATACGTATTGGATGAGATGAAATTAAACCGTAAAAATCAAAATGACAGTCTCTATTCCGTTTTCCCCCTTTGATATAAATATAATAACAATATAGTGTGATTTCGAATTAGATATTGCACATTAAATCGGGAAAAAGACCCAAATCAAATAATTGACAAGGGCATAAATTTGTATTAAAAAAATGAACACTAATGAACTAATGAAACAACGGATTGAAATATGTTTACATTTTGAGGCAATCTGCGAGTAAATTGAATAAAACTGTATGTTGCAAACGTAATATTATACCGGTTCGTTTAAAACCAAAAATCTATTGATGTACATGAGAAAATAAAAATGATATGTCTCAAACAAAAAATACAGTTCAGAGTGTATTTAACAATTGCGATTGTTAAATGTAATGACATCATTCATCTAAAATAAAAATAAATTGATATTTGAATAACAATATTACATACTTTCGTATAAGATATTGCACATTATATTAGGGATAAAAAGTCAAAATTTAATATTTAGCAAGGGCAGTTGTGCTTGACCACTTGAATTCAACTGGTCTTGGTCAACTGGTCTGGTCCATTTCAACTGAATCAGTTTGCCCATTTCAATTTCCAGGGTTACCAGTTGGCTTTAAATGGTTCAACTGTACCAGTTGCAACTAGTTTTTCCTTCGGCTAATCCCAAACTGCTTCAGGCGCGCCTGGAGGTGAATATGAATGATCCAAAACACGATGTTCAGGAACGGGATGAGAACGTCAATATTTTGGTTCATTTATTGTGTAACATTTGCGTAATTATTGGGTTGAAACTTGGTTACAAAAATATATTTCCTCTTCGACGTCAATTTCACGTGCATGAAGAACATGGTTCATCACTAACTATCACTACCGCTTTACGCGTTTCTGCGACGCGATTCTAAACCTTCTAAAGAATGTGATCATGTCGTTTATGAAAATGTAATTTCCTAACCAAACACAGACGATAGTATTAGGTTTACAAACCATGTTCTCCAAGGTAGGGATAATCATGTTATTATAATGGTGATTTTACTGTGACAATTGCGTGATGTAGCGTAAGTGTGTTTTTTGTGACCTAGTGCAATAAATAAATTAACAAAAATCACGTAAATGTCAAGTGTTTAAGGAACGCGTACTTCACTCCAAGTCATTTTCTTAATATTGACGTGAATTTCACGCAGATGTTTTGACTTAAGCGTGTTTTAAATGACATAGTGCAATACACATATTAACACATTCACGTTAATGTCAAGTGTTTGACGAACGTAAATCTGTTTAAGTCGATACCTTGATATTGACGTGATTTTCACGTGAATTTGTTAACTGGAAAATGAATCGTATAACTTTTCTTCTAAATTCTGTCAAAACATGCTCTTCGACTTTATTATTCCACAAGTTTCCTTCTTCGAATGACAACAGAATCCTATTCTCAACCAAACACACCGACTTGATCTGAAAGCATTTACCTTTTCATATTTGAATATTCCAACAAGTCAAAATCGATTTGAACACATTTCAATGAGAAAGGGAAAATGAACCTTCCCTCGATAGACAAACCAATATTAACCTACAACTTTTTAGGTAAATGCCAGTTGGTTGAGCGGTCATTACCATGTTACGAGTTAGCCTAGAATTGGTAACCCGACACATGCTCCGCCGACGATTGCTCCGCCGACATTTACTCCGCAAAACGCGACAATTGCTCCGCGACATTTGCTCCGCGACATTTGCTCCGACGTCAAATGCTCCGCCGACAGTTGCTTCGCCGACAGTTGCTCCGCCGACAGTTGCTCCGCCGACAATTGCTCCGCCGACAGATGCTCCGCCGACAATTGCTCCGCCGACAATTGCTCCGCCGACAATTGCTCCGCCGTCAATTGCTCCGCAAAACGCGACAATTGCTCCGCCGACATTTGCTCCGCCGACATTTGCTCCGCCTGAAGCGACACTTGCTCCGCCGACATTTGCTCCGCCGACAATTGCTCCGCCGACAATTGCTCCGCCTGAAGCGACAATTGCTCCGCCGACATTTGCTCCGCCGACATTTGCTCCACCGACATTTGCTCCGCCGACAATTGCTCCGCCGACAATTGCTCCGCCTGAAGCGACAATTGCTCCGCCGACATTTGCTCCGCCGACATTTGCTCCACCGACATTTGCTCCGCCCAAAAAGTGTCCCATAAACTACAAATGCTACTAGCACTACGACAAATGCTTCGCCGACAATATTTTCTTTACACCTATTTTTTTCGTTTCTTTTTTTCTTCTTCATTTTCTGAATGCATTTCTTGAAATAATGTAGATGAAATGAAATGAATGAATGTTGATGAAGTGGGAGGAAAAAGGAGTTACCTAAAAGTCATTTCGAATATACTGAAATAACTTTCCATCTATCACTGTACGTCCCATATAATGTATACTAAACACTCATTACATGTCATGGGAAGTTTTTAAAAAAAGTAGAGCAGCAAGCCACATTCCCCAATACGCGCATACCTCCTAGTTAATTTCAAGTAGCTCATCAATATGTAATACCTGAAATTACCTCGATCAATGCATCTTACTAGGTAAAGCATTATACAATGTAATAGGTCATCATGGAAGTTTAGAAAATAAGTAAGGGGGATTTACCAAGTGTTGATCTTTTTAAGAGTTTTATAAAGAAACAAAAAGATATTGAATATTTCTCAGCGAAAAAAAGGAACAAGCTTGTTTCGCATTTTAAGAAATGGCGATTTGACTTATGATACTCATGTTGATTTAACTTTTATTCCTGTGCCCCCTCACTCCCCTTTATGCACTGGAGTTCAAACTATGATTTATATGGGTACAGTGTATTTTTTTTTACTATAATGTTTTTTTTTTATAACTTTCTTGTCCTTTCATTATTGTTAGTTGTTCTTATACATATTGGTTTTTTTGTTTGTCTAATTATTACCAATGACTTGTAAATATGTAATTTTTATATGATTGAAAATTTAATAAACACACAAATATAAAAAAAAAGTTTAGAAAATAAGGGCACTTATATACGTAAGGAAGAGAACCCATTCAGACGGGAAAATGAGATGGCAGCCTTTCTGCTTATTCACATTTATACAAATCATTTTGTTGCAGTTTGATGTTAGTTCTTCATGATAAGCCAATTGCTCTTCTTCCGGTGGCTTCGTGAGTCCCTTAAATTATTTAGTGAAAACAAAGTACTCGAATGAAACGGAGTGTTTTACACACTAACATATATATATTAAAGCTACATACACTTAACTAAAGGAAAGAAACCTTTAGAAAATGGACTGGATATTATTGAAAATATTATTCTAAACAAGAATGTACTACATGATTGTATTACTTTACGTTTCAATTTCACGAGAGAAATAGAACTCGAGAGGGGGAGCAGAGAAGAAGTGATGGAAATGAAAGAAGACTAATAGCATGAGAGGAAAGAAAAGAGCAAAGAAGACAAGAAAACGGTGTAAACAGGAAAAGGAGGAGCATGGGAGAGAGAGAAAGAGAGAGAGAGAGAGAGATAGCCTTGAGCTTTGGATCAGCTAATGAGTAATACATGAAACAGATTTTGAGCGGAGTAATTATCTTTCGCCGGAGAACTTGCGTAAGGAGCTATAATTTTATTTTTTATTTTTTTAAATCAAACATTATGGGGAATAGCAAAACACGGTTGTCTTCTTTGCTCTTTTCTTTCCTCTCATGTTATTAGTCTTCTTTCATTGAGGTAATTTCAGGTCTTACATATTGATGAGCTGTTTGAAATTAACTAGGAGGTATGCGCGTATTGGGGAATGTGGCTTGCTGCTCTACTTTAAAAAAAAAAAAACTTCCCATGACATGTAATGAGTGTTTAGTGTACATTATGTGGGACGTACCAGTGATAGATGGAAAGTTATTTCAGTATATTCGAAATGACTTTTAGGCAACTGCTTTTTCCTCCCACATTATCAACATTCATTCATTTCATTTCATTTACATAATTTCATGAAATGCATTCAGAAAATGAAGAAAAAAAGAAAGAAACAAAAACAACCCGTGAAAAAAAATATTGTCGGCGAAGCATTTGTCGTAGTACTAGTAGCATTTGTATTTAATGGGACACTTTTTGGGCGGAGCAAATGTCGTCGGAGCAAATGTCACCGGAGCAAGTGTCGCTTCATGCGGAGCAAATGTCGTCGGAGCAATTGTCGGCGGAGCAAATGTCACCGGAGCAATTGTCGACGGAGCAATTGTCGGCGGAGCAATTGTCGCTTCAGGCGGAGCAATTGTCGGCGGAGCAATTGACGGCGGAGCAAATGTCGGCGGAGCAAATGTCGGCGGAGCAAATGTCGGCGGAGCAAGTGTCGCTTCAGGCGGAGCAAATGTCGGCGGAGCAAATGTCGGCGGAGCAATTGTCGCGCTTTGCGGAGCAATTGACGGCGGAGCAATTGTCGGCGGAGCAATTGTCGGAGGAGCAATTGTCGGCGGAGCATCTGTCGGCGGAGCAATTGTCGGCGGAGCAACTGTCGGCGGAGCAACTGTCGGCGGAGCACCTGTCGGCGGAGCATTTGACGTCGGAGCGAATGTCGCGGAGCAAATGTCGCGGAGCAATTGTCGCGTTTTGCGGAGTAAATGTCGGCGGAGCAATCGTCGGCGGAGCATGTGTCATGGAACCCTAGAATTAGATAGTTTAGAGGGAGAATATTCACTTACTAATGAGTAGACACCACAGGCAATGGATCCACTCCTGACGTTAGAGAAGCAACAACAACTTTGCATAATCGCCATGGTGATTTATTTCTTGTCTCACCACTTTCTTCACCTAAGATGATTTTCACTTAAGATGATTTTGACAAAAGATGATAAACAGTTAAGCGTAGTCTTCCAAAACTTGGTAGCGGACTATCGACGGTTATGTGTGGTGATTACTCGGCCGAGGTAGTGTAACTTTGACAGGGTCTAACGGCTATTTTGTATCTCTCATATACTTATTATACGTTTTCAGTTGCTGGATGCTGATTGGTTGATATTTTTATCAAGTAGACAATCCTTTTTTTTTTGGTGTTATTAATGAAAGGGGCGCATTTATTGTTTCCCGGTTTTTACCTCGGGGTGTACCTCTTGTAACTTTGCTTTGCTTCTAATAATCTGTTTCTCTCTGCTTCCACGGCTGACTTAGGAGCAGCCTTTTAAAAAGAGTGTTGTCAAAATCCTGAGGGTTCCAATGAAAGAGCTAGTGTCAACGTACGTCGGGGTGAATGTGCTTTTCGTTTAAACAAAAATGAATTTGTAACGATTTTTTTGGGGGGTAGAAGTACATAGGCTAACATGTTTATAGGCTGCTGGACACTGACGATAGGAGGCGTTCTCAAATGAGACTAAACGGAGCTATATGCTCCATGCATGTTGCATGCAGTGTGTGTGCGTTTGTATGTGTGTTTATGTGTGTGAAAGGGGGTGAGGTGTGGGTGGGCTAGAGGGGGGGTGTCATGAGTTTGCTGGTGTGAGAGTGTGTGACAGGATGGTAATATGTAACTTTAAACCTTCCTCTACTGTTATTCTGATTATACACTGTTACATGCAAGAATTTTTTTTCTTTTTTTTTTCTCTATGTGCATTGATTGATGTAACTCATGAAGTGTCTTATATCAAAGATCTTGTTTTATATTGCTTATTTTGATAATTTCTTGTTATGTGAATTTCTTGTTATGTGAAATTATGAGGAAGAAAATAAAATATCATTTAAAACAAAAAAAATATGCCACCCCCCCCCCCCCCCCTCCCTCACTTGACAATAGGCCTATATAACAATTTTTAAAATTTAGAAAGAGATAGAGAAGACAAAAGTCCTACAAACGATGCTCAAAAAGTAGGAAAGTGTCTTGCTACTCTCCACCCGGGTGTTAAAATGGGTACCCGGTAGGATGCGACCGTCATTGTTGGTCAAACAATTTTAGAGCGTCAAGTCACGCCTGGCTGGAATGCTCCCCAGGGAGTGGACATTGTGCACACAGTGTGTGCGGGCAAGCACTGAATCCAATGAACGGGTAATAGTATATCTGTAAAGTGTCCGAGGTGTATTAAGCGCTATATAAAAGCTGAATGTTATTATTATTATTATTTCATAATTTGCGCTACGATTCTGATTGTGTAAATATATATATTTTTTTTTTTAAAGCACGAGTAAACGTAGAGATTGGAAGATGTGTCTTAACTATTGGGCAAGCAAAATTGATACTTTGTTGAGATGCGAATGTTTGTCTGGGAATATGGATGTGGGAAAATTGTTCCTTTACTGCATTTATTTGAAAAAAGGAAAACCTTGTTTAAGTTCTATGGACAGGAAGCGAACAATAATGGTTCAACGCGTTTGAATAATCGGCCAACCACGGCACCACAATGGAGAACTTCTTCATTGAATAAATAGGTAATTCAGGTCACTTCTTGCATGATAAATTAGTTGTTATTATTATTTGTATTTATTCGGCAAAAAAAAATGTATACAAAAGGAATACATAAAAGAACAAATCATACAAAAAAGGATGAAAATCATTTTTGATTTTAATTATCGTGATTCCCATGAACATTTACAAGTTGCCAAGAATGGGGCAGGCAAACTAAATCACTGAAACCGTGAAGTTCCCCCATTCCGACTTGCAGTACTCATGGGAGATCACTACATAGATACAATGTAACAACTAACAAGAGTATAGCAACACTCGTTATGGCAATGATAAAAGAGCAAACTCGAATAATTAAATTAATCAATAAAGTAACAATTATTTCCTATGTTATTTAAGGAAAATTATAAAGAGCCAAGCAATCAAAACGAAAAATTCAAATGAGTCTTCATATTGGACAATTATTAAGTTGCACAAATAAGAATGATGGACTCCGTTTTGGTAGCAAAATACAGGCTAGAAGAGAACAGTTATTTGACATAATATATCTTACGGTTGAATTACACAAAATCGAAATATACAAAATAATGTGCTTCTTTATATATACTAGATAATTAAAAATTAAGGGGCAGATGTTTGGCAAGAGTTAAAACAATCGTGTATCTCTATCTATCTCTATAATTAAAGAAGTTTTTTTATAACACAGTCTAGTCTTTGCTTACAGAATATATTACATACACATAACTTTCTATTTGGTGTTGAAGTTTTTTGTATAACCAACTGTAATTAATGACTCTCTTTAAACAGATATTGATTTTTAAAGATATTCTGTGCTGATTTTTCAAATGAGACGCCGTGTTGGTATACATCTTTTTTCGTTCAGCTGCAATTATATTATCAACCGCTGTTCTTATGAGTGATTCATGGATCTAATGCATATTTTCTTAATGAATTTATCATCATGTCATTTTTCTTTGTTCAATATTCATTTTATTTTTTATTCCAAATCATACAAATCAATCGTAGAAATAAAATACAGTTGTTTTTCATCTTGACAAGAATTCAAAACATGTTCAATACATAGATTGTACGATTAATGAAAAAAATGAAATCAGTTGTGACAGAACAAATAACCCCATCCAACCAAACACACTACTACCCCCCCCCCCCCCCCCCCCACTATGCGACACACACACTCACACACACACCCCAACACCCCAAACCACACTTACACACATATACCCCACACTGTTCCTAGCCTCCTCAGAATACCCAACATTGGAGCGAGAGAAAATTGAAATAATAAATTTTCAAAAAAACATTGTCAAAAAAATAAACGAGACTTCAATAGCCCAGTGTTAAAACTTCACTTGTTCCCACTTCTGTAAATGTAAGGCTAATTTACCTGCCCTCACTGCAATATCCTTTTCTTATTCCCTAAATTCCAACAGTTCTTTTTGAAAATCACCCAAAGACATAATACGGACTTTCACCTGCATCTATATATCCAATATTTCATTCCAAAAATAATTGTATTAAATATCTGTATTCGTGGGGAATTACCGGCCAACCAGATTAATATCTACCCTGTCGACAAACCTTAATTCCCTTAGCTCAAACTTAGCTATTAGTTTCTGCCATAACCTTTAAACATGTACACACTCCCAGAACAATTATAAATATCTTTCAATCTTTTGCTTACAAAATGAGCACAAGTTATCTTCCACATAGCCGAATCTGAATAAGTGTTCTTTAGTATAATATGCTACATGAAGCAGTTTAAAGTGAATTTCTCTCAGTCTGTGAACAAGAGTAACCTTCCTAGGCCTACGAAATATCTCCCTACATACCTCATTTGACAAATCTGAAACTCCCTATCCATCATGAATCTGCAAAAAAAAAAAAAACTTTTCTATAAAATATTCATAAACCTTCCTCGATAATAAATCCCTGAGGAGCTCACAGTACTGTTAAATTGCATTTAAATATCATATTCTTTCACATCCACTAAACTCCAGTTATCCCTTTTTCCGCTTCTCAAAATAGCTTCCCCAATATTCCATAACTCAACAATTTCATTTCCTTTTAACCCCAAATGTAGAAAATGAGATATTGACCGCATGCCAGTTTCAGCAAAAAAAATCTTGAACTGAAATTATATTGCAAGTAAACAAATCCTCATAAGAAATCATTTTCTTTTCAATAAGAAATTGTAATTGTTAAAGATAATTGGATTATTCTTTTCTTCAAAATTCCTTCAACCTTCTAACTCTTCCTATGCAACCCCACCCCTCTCCTACACACACACACACACACACACACACAAACACACGCACGTATGCATACATATATACCTTCCGAAATTATGTCAACAATTTTTTCTTCGAGCCTTACGGTGGATACAACATCGATTTTTATAATGTTATGGTTGTTGGAGAGCAACATTATTGAATAAGTTGTTTGGCAAATTTGAAACAATACCCCCCCCCCCATCACCACCATCATCATCATCAACACCAACACCATCATCATCATCATCACCACCACCACCACCACCATCACCACCACCATCATCCCCATCATCATCACCATCATCATCATCACCACCATCATCACCACCACCATTACCACCACCAACACCACAACCACCAACACCGTCATCATCATCATCATCACCATCATCACCACCACCACCATCACCCCACGACCACCACCATCACCACCATCATCACCACCATTATCATCACCATCATCATCACCACCATCATCACCACCACCATCACCACCATCATCACCACCATTATCATCACCATCATCATCACCACCATCATCACCACCACCATCATCACCATCATCACTACCATTATTACCATCATCACCACCACCACCACCACCACCATCATCATCATCACCACCATTAGTACAACCACCACCACTGTCATCATCATCATCATCACCCCCACCATAATCACCACCACCATTACCACCACCAACACCACAACCACCAACACCGTCGTCATCATCATCATCACCATCATCACCACCACCACCATCACCCCACCACCACCACCATCACCACCATCATCACCACCATCATCATCACCATCATCATCACCACCATCATCACCACCATCATCATCATCACCATCATCACCATCACCCCACCACCACCAACACCGTCGTCATCATCATCATCACCATCATCACCACCACCACCATCACCCCACCACCACCACCACCATCACCACCATCATCACCACCATCATCATCATCACCATCATCATCACCACCATCATCACCACCATCATCATCATCACTACCATTACCACCACCACCACTGTTATCATCATCATCATCGTCACCACCCCCACCATCACCAACATCATCACCAACATCATCATCACCCAACATATTACTGAAAGTCACATACATTACACACAGAAATGCATGTATGGGACTGGATACGCGTGTGGCATCAAAGTTAGGTTCTAAATCTAGTCATGTTTTTAATATGAGGGTATTCGAAGAGCCATCCATATC